TGTGCCGAAAATTGAAAATAGATGGTGTGTTCTGCAGATGGTGAATTTCATTTGTGAATGAATCGCTTGTGGAATGTACTGAAGTATTCGAATAACATCACCTATAATTATTGGTTTGTGTTGTTGGTATTATACGTATTTGTTTCATAGCGTGATGAATTGCAATTGTATTATAATAAAAGCATTGTTTGAATTTCCAACTCGTTAGCATTCAAACGCAGTGTCGAAATGAGATAAGCCTTTCATTCCCAGCCAGTAAAAATTGCAGCAATCATGAGAAATGAGACAGGCAGTTTCCTCAGCGAATGGTCAAGAGATGAAATATTTGCTTGACATGACGACGGGTCGATCGTCATGTTCAAGAAGAGATCAGTCTGTTTTCAATAGTTTTTCTCCGCTGGGACATTAATTTTTAAAGAATTCTGATTCGATACGATTATTTGTCAAATTTCCTTGAAAAATGTGATGTCCGCTTGTCAAACGTGGATCAGAAGAGTCATGAGGTGATATAATAGAGACAAGTGGAGTAAGTTTGAAGAGACCTATGAACGAAATGCTCGAAGAGCCTATAGCTAGTCGTGAGTAAATTAACTAAATGAAATGCGATAGTATTTAGTTGCTCACATTAGAGAGTGATGATTCAACTCTAGGATCGTCGCTCTTTGCTTTCATTGTGGATTGAAGTTGCCATAGCAGTACTTCCTTTCCGCAGTAGATTCCGCTTGTTGTCGGATGTGGTATTTGTGAATGTATGAAATAATCCTGGATTAACTTGACCTAGTGAACGGAAACATAAAGCACGCATAGCTATTTCCCGTATAACAGCATCACTGATATNATCGAAGACATTTAGATTCGGTTAAGTTCCGTCGCCATGTAATGTGAGAAATTCGAATGTTCCGCTTCAGCATTCATGTCTGCCCTTCTATGAACGTTTACCTTCAACAAAAATTTTTTTTGTGAAATTAAAAATTTTCAAGCGCAACATGAAACGAACAAACGCACTGCTGAAGTGAGCGCAAGTAATCAAAGGTAACAGATATATTGCCCTGTTAGAGTTAGGCTATATTAGATCGCTAGAACGACAAATTCATTCATCCATATAGAATGTGAGCAATTGAACAGAATAATGAGTCAGCTACGAGTTCATATCGCACAGCAATGAGAGTAGCAAGCACGAGGTGATTATAATAATGTGATGATCATCGGAACATAGCTTGTTAGTGGCTATTATAAAGGGTAATCCATAAGGCTCATTGTTAAAAAGACAGAATCTAAGCAACGCAAACAAGAAACCGATTCAACTTCTCTCACATCGTTCACTCACCTATCAATTAATTCACTCATNGTGTGACTAATTTCACATTTTTCCTATTCCTCATGCCCACTGATTCTATCTGCGTTCATTTCATATCCATTACGTCCCGTTGTCTTCATGCAGTTGCTAACCTACCTATTCGGTTACCTTCTATAATTGTATAAGCGTATTGTATATCTTCAGTTGTTCAAGATATTTGTAAGTAAATAATATTTCTCACAATCACACAGATACTCTTCGTTTCATGGTATTCAGTTGTTGTTTGCATGACAACGGTAACGCTTTCTGATGATTTCACACGTTCACTCGCATTCCAAGCCCGATATTCTCATGTTCTCAAACTATTCAGGTAGCAAATATGTTGCATGAGCCAACTTATCAGCAGCAGTCTTCGTTTTCGTTTCTAGGTAAGCAAGCGATCTGTTATCGTCTTCGTTCCTAATGCTAGTTGGCAAGATCTCTCCTCGTCACTTCAAATAAGCTCACATCCATCTGTTTTCCTATATCTGGTTATATCTCTCCGCACTCGGCTTTCATATCTGATATCTCATTATATTTCCAATACAAAATCAATTCCACGGCTAAGTTCGTCTTGCCAATTAAAACAACAATAACGAAGGACTGAATGAGTGTATGTGTATGCCGTTTGTTTCCACTCAATTATAATATTTCTTCAGTATTTATGCGTTTTTATACGCTCATATTAGTTTTCATGCTTTCGCTCATTTAATTTCATGTGCTCGCGGTCGTTTGAATGCTTTCGATTGCGTTAGTTACGCTCTCATTTACTTAATAAGCGCTATCCGACGCTATTGCGCATTACTTCACGAGATACTTCTAGCTTTTAGCGAATGCAGTCCACAATTTATTGTGTGCAATCTCTCGACAGTTCAAGTACATTCCATAGATAATTATCACCATCTCATTGTCAGTGTTTGCTGATGTCATAGTATCATTGATTAGAAGCGTGAAAGCTTACGAATGTGATGCCTATTTCGCCTGAAACTTTTAGCTGATAGAGTATTTCCACTCGAAGACATTGCTTGATTGAATGTTTTAGCACATAACCTACTCAAAGTTATGATTTCTAAACTGCTTCATCCAGTTACGATTGAGCTAGAGTGGAGGATCTGTGCCCGAAAAGTTCCATGAGGGTATTTGCGCGAAATTATTTTCAACTGGTTCGATCTTATCGATTTATGACCATACCCTAGACAGTGGTATGGTTTCTGAGAACTGAATGATCATTTTCAGTTACTGATTGCAACAGAGGCATATCTGAAGTAAGCAAACAATTTCTCGTATGATAATCGTTACTGTTTCGGCTGTTCTGCAGATAATTTCGCTTCTTCTGAATCTCATTCTCGCCATCGAAGCATCCAGAGAGCGACATTCGAGGTTTTCTTTTGATATTCACTAATATCAGCCACTGAAAACCTGCGTCAAAAGTTCGAATATGATCAAATGAAATTGAAAGTTCCATCTTGTTCGTCGTAATTGTAAATGAGGAAAAAATCTCTTGTGAAGAGAAAGTATGAGCAGTTTAAAGTAATGCTCTTGATACGAAACCTCACTTGGAGTGGACAATGTGAGCTGCGACATTCTTCTAATCCCTAAATTTTATGTTCTTGTTTTGTGTTTTTGCTTAATACAGTCAGTTCTTCAATTAATTGCTTCAATTTATAGTGAAAATCGATGTCATTTCTTAACACATATCGCCGCGTTATGCTTATCGAATTTCCTGTTCATCTTCCATCAACTTACCGTATTCAATAATCCCTTCCAGGCAATACGGTAAGCTGTCAACTCAAATTTCTCTTTTTGCTTACTTATATGCATCCAAAAACCCTGCAAAACCTGCTCCTTCAAGGTTGTGATGGAAACGATTTCACTCAGAGGAAAACGAGTTCAAAATCGCTTCTGTATTCATTTTTCTTCGGATTTAATCACTATCGGATGAATCTGAAGAAAATATCGTCAGTCTGACATTAATTATGAAGCAATTTGCTCCTTGAAGTGTTTCTCGTTGACACGGTATCACAAATGACGAGCATCAGCTTTGCATTGATATCTGTTGATATCAGCAGTACTTTGATGTCAGTATGTTTGCACTAAACAGCTTGTTGGCGCATCATTTGTGGACTGAATTTGATCGATCAAGTGATCTCTAGACCAATCAATCCCAAAGGCTGTATGAAATGAATATTCCGAGATTTTAGAGATTCATTTTAGCTCTGTACTCGTCTCACAACAATCCAAATTCGCCGCTGACGTGATATGGTCTGTAGGAGTTGTTCTCGCGATGAGCAGATATATAGCCATAGCGATAATCTCGCTGAGTCGAATGGTCGCTCAGACATTCAGTGCTGATATGCAAATCAAGGTGATCACCTCTAATCAATCTTTTCTTAGTTTTTTTTGCATCAACTTATCAGATGCAAGGCACCGATTTGAAATAACGCAAACATTGCCTTACGATGCCGAATGATTGTGGAGTTGATAATGCAACGAATAATACCGACGATATCATGATGCCAACAGTATAACAGTCAATAATATGATGTTAAAAATATAACAGTGATATTAACAAATATCAATTTGCAAAATTCCTTGCAGACTATTTATACAGTCGAACTTATCGGAATTTGTTGTCGTTAGCTTAAGAGAAAGTAAAAATCGCTGGCGAAATATCTGCTGAATTGAAGTTACAATTCCTATCGGTTCAGATAAGGTGAACTACAGGTGTGGAGTGGCCGTGTTTGTGCGTTCGCGATTTTTGTACAATTCGTTTTCCCGATCAGTTACGTGGCTGCGTTCATGGTGGATGATCCGCAATTATCACTTATGGTACATGATAATGCGGTTTTCGTTGGATGGGGTAACTTAGAGCTTCATGTGAGTGCAGTGCAATTCTCATTTCTTATTGATAGTAATACCGCCAACAATATCATTGATAATCTACTCTACTCACAATGAAACCAATAATAATTGTTGATCATAAAGATTGCTGCCGTAATGAGCATAAGACTGCAAAAAATAATATCAATTTGAAGTGTACTGGGTCAGTCTATCCCAGTGGTTCTCATAGGGGGTGAAATTACCCATTTTTGAGTAATTTGGACTTGGGTATGTGAATGCGGTTAGTTAATGGCAAGACTTTTCATTTTCCTTTTAAGTATCATTACTTCGTCAGGGTCTAACAGAGTTTTCATTT